CTGTATTCCGTCGATGACAGTTCGACAGTCGTCCTGCGAGATTCTGTCGTTGACCTCGACCACCAGTCCCTCGTAGGCCCCCTCCTTGAGGACGAGGTGCGAGCTATACTTGGAGGGGGTCCCGCCGTCGGCCCCTTTTTGGGCCTCCGTCCTCTTCTGTCGGTCCGACAGGTCGTCTGCCCCCACAGTGGTCGTCGTGCGGTCATGCCCCTTCGGAAGCGAGTTGTAGGTGGCCCTGACCCCGCCTCCCCCGCTTAAGTCCTGACCCCACTTGGCCTTGCCGTAGGACGCGTAGGAAGGACCGGTCGCGCCCCTCGCTCCTTCCGGGCTCGTGGCGCGGCTCGGGTACGTCCTCACGCTCGACTCGATCTTGAGCTGCAGCGGCGGGTCCTTCCTCTCGCCGCCGTACCACGAGTTGTCGCGCTTCCGGTGGAAGTTAGGGGCGTCTACTGCTTCTTTCACCGCGCCGGCAGTGCCACCGATCCCGCTCGGCAGGGCGGGCCGCAGCTCCGACGCCTTCGATGGTTCCCCAGCCACGCTGAGGACGCCCATGCTCACCAGTAGAAGGGCCGTCAGCGCTGCCCGAAGAAATCGGCAGGACGGGGAGAGATGGTGGGTCCGCGGGGAGTGTCCAGCGCCCACCACCTCCTCCGGCCGCCCTCCCCGCCTCCCACACGCGGTCAGGGCGGCGGCGGCGGCGAGGGCGTCGTGCGGAGATGAAAATAAATGACAACTCGCAGGTTCTGCCTCTTTCATCTCTCCTTAAATCAACTCCGCGTTACCAAGACGCACGAGCTGACAGCAAGGATCGTTTGTTTAGATCTGGCGCAATCAGGTTGCGGCGCCGCTGATTTGATCTCGGGGGGCTTCGCTGCTCGTCGGGAGGTTGCTCGAACGGCCGATAGGTGTCACCATAGTCGCCCGAGCTTCTTATTGAACGTCCATTCGCTGCAAAGAGAAGAGAAAGTGCCTTAATTTCAAAAGAGCAATCGACCATGGTTGTCAGTTGTATGGGTAAATATGTATTATTTTAAGATCGTGAAAGTAAAGTATATATAAGTATGATAAAAAATAAGTAAAGTAAATAAAATCAAAGTATAACTAAAAATGCATCTATGTATATATGCAAATGCATGTGTATTCTCCTTTCAAATGCATTTACAAAAGAAAAAAGGATGAAGAAGCGCTTGCAAAATTGAGATAAATATTGCGTACACATGCAAAGGGAAATGCTGCTTTTGCCCCACATCATTCCAAACCAGAGAAACGCGGCATAGACAGCGTAAAGTCTCTCCGGCGCAGACTTTATCGTGTCCATGCCGGCTTTTACAACCTCGAAAGATAATTGATGGCAGTCATTACCTTCTTTTTTTCTTCATCTGATGGACAGTTTCATAATCTGCTACGATTACTTTACGACGGACGAATAATACAGGAAAGGGAAACCGAGTTTAATCACGCTCTCAACGCGCTTAATTTTAAAAAGAGGAACAGAAAATAAGTAAAAAATATATGCCCAAAATCACTACTTCCCTTTGCCTCTTTTAGACTAGCATGTTTCACGTTGCTGTTCTGTTTTTTCATCTTTGTTAATGACATATTTTTTCGATAACTGAGGGTGATAATAAGATATCATTTTGCACCATTAGTGAAGCCAAAATGTTTACAAGAGGAAAAGTTGGACGAAGATCTTGTGCAAAAATTCTCTTCATTATTATTTTTTTACCCTGCTTTTCTTTTCTTTTAAACCAAAGAGTTCCTGTAAGAAACATGTATTTTTTTTTTATCTAGTTATACTGACGGAGCTTTTATACAAGTTTCCCCCTTAAATTTCAACAGAACATGGGTACCTTTTCATAGGGTGTTGCTTTAAAGCTGCGCAAGACTAAATTTTCCCTAGCATCGTTTTCCTCGCCAAAAGGGGAGCGATTTTCTATGGCGAGATATTAACACTTTATTTTCATTCTCTTTCTCTCACTTGAGCGTTCTCTTTTTTTTCTCTTTTTCTTTCGCTTTTCATTGCTTTCTTTCTCTTTTTTTGTATTCTCTTTATCTCTTTTTCTCTTTCGTTCATTTATGTATAGCCCCCCCTCTCTCTCTCTATCTATCTATCTATCTATCTATTTCTATCTCTCTCTCTATATTTATATCTATATGTCTACCTATCTATCTATCTATCTATCTACTTGACTATCTACCTACATAACTATCTATCTATCTATCTATCTATCATTCTGTCCATCGATCTGTCAGTATATATATAATAACTCTACCTATCTATCTATCTATAAGTCCCACGCTCACACAAACTCACACACATGCGTACACCTCCCCCCAGTGTATCGACCCCATGCTCTTCCCTCCCCAGCTGACCCCTTTTGACCTCAGCTGACCCCTTTTGACCCCAACTGACCCCTTTTGACCCCAGCTGACCCCTTTTGACCCCAGCCTCGGCCCTTGGATCCTGGACGCTCGCCCCATCGACCTATCCCTTCCGGCCAAAGGTGCATATTGAGGTGTTGGAGGAAAACGCAGTATTGGAAGGGCGATGGACACAGCAGGTAAGGGGGCCTGGATTATTCAAAGGGGGGAGGGGGGGAGGAAGGGAAGGGAGGGGAGGGGAGGGAAGTGGGAGGGGAGAAAGAGGGATGGAAGGGAGAGGAGGGGGAGGAATGGAAGGGAGGGGATGGGAGGAGGAGGGGAGAAAGAGGGATGGAAGGGAGGGGAGGGGGAGGAGGAGAAAGGGAGGGGAGGGGAGTGGGAGGGGAGAAAGAGGGATGGAAGGGAGGGGAGGGGGAGAATGAGAAAGGGAGGGAAGGAGGAGGAAGAGGAAGGGAAAGGAAGGGATGGGAGTAGAAAGGGAGAAAAAGGAATAGAAGGGAGGGGAGGGTGAGAATGAGAAAGGGAGGGAAGGGGAGTATAAGGGGAGAAAGAGGAATAGAAGGGAGGGGAGGAGGAGAAAGAGGGAGGGAAGGGAGGGGAGGGGAGGGGAGTAGAAAGGGAGAAAAAGGAATGAAGGGAGGGGAGGGTGAGAAAAAGAAAGGGAGGGGAGGGGAGTGTAAGGGGAGAAAGAGGAATGGAAGGGAGAGGAGGCGGGAAGGAGGAATAGAGGGAAGGGCAGGGGGGGGGGGGGGGTGAAGAAGGAGAGGAAGGGTCGGCGCTTCAGGAAATGGGTAAAGGAGGTGGAATGGTTGAGATGAGAATTTCATAGGGGCTGAGGATGGAGTGGTGGTGGGGAGGGGGGGGGGGGGTGCTAGAGGTGGGAAGGGAGAGGAGTGGAGAGAGAGGATGGTGGAGGTGAGGAGAGGGGTAAAGAGGGAAGATATTAAAGAAAAGGCCAAAGAAGGAATAAACTGCATGACTAGGAGGAGAGGTGAAGGAGAAAGCAGGAGGAGGAAGAGAAGAAGAAAACTGTAGATGATAGGGTAGGAGGAAGGGAAAGCAGATTAACGGGTAGATGACGGGGGTGGGAGTAAAAGCAGGAAGAAGTGTGAAAGCAGGGGGGGCTAGAATAAGTAGGAAGAAGTGAAAACATGTGAAGAAGGAGCTAACAGCAGGAGGTAGGAAGGGAGGAGGAAATAAAAGCAAGAGGAAGGGAGGAGGAAATAAAAGCAAGAGGAAGGGAGGAGGAAATAAAAGCAAGAGGAAGGGAGGAGGAAATAAAAGCAAGAGGAAGGGAGGAGGAAATAAAAGCAAGAGGAAGGGAGGAGGAAATAAAAGCAAGAGGAAGGGAGGAGGAAATAAAAGCAAGAGGAAGGGAGGAGGAAATAAAAGCAAGAGGAAGTGAGGGTGAAAGAAGGGGAAGAAGAATGAGTAGGAGAAAGTGAAAGCAGTTTGAGAGAGGGATGAAAGCAGAGGGAGGAGGGAGAGGAAAGACTGAAAGCAGAGGGAGAAGATTGCGTAGAATGGGGAACTGAAGGTAGGTTGAGGAAGAAAGGGTGGAAAAGAGAGGAGAAAGCGGAAAGAAAGGGGCTGATAATAACAGGGGGAAACTGGTAATGTGAGAGCAGGTGGAGAATAAAAAAAGTGTCATAGAGAGTGACAGCAGGTAGTAGGATAAAGAGTAGAAGGCAGATTGAGGAAGATGAAAGCAGGAGGTGGAGGAAATGAAAGTGGAAGAAGATGAGGATGTGGAGGGGGTGAAAACATAAGGCGATAGGGAGGGTGAAAGCAAATGGAGGAGGAGAGTAAAGCAGGAGGAAGAGGAGGAGGAGGAGAGTGAAGCAGCAGGAGGAGGAGGAGGAGGAGAGTAAAGCAGGAGGAGCAGGGGAAAGTGAAAGCAGGAGGAGGAGAAGGAGGAGGAGGAGGAGGAGGAGGAGGAGGAAGGGAAGGAAAGGCCGTGGGATGGAGATTTAAGATTATGAGAACTGGAGGAATAAAAGAACCTGCGGAAGGAGAGTAATAAATAGAGTAAATAGTACACGCGAGACAAAGGGGAACGGCCCGGACGGTGTTGTAAAGAGGTACTTAAAAGAAAATATAAAATTAGCAAGAGGAATTTGAAGCGAGGGGAGGAATAAAATGATGTGCGGCGGGAGTGTCGGAGAGGAGTAGAGGGAGGAATAAAAAGAGGGAAAAAGAGACAGAGGAGGCAGGAGTGGATGAAAGAGGATTTGGGAATGTGGTAAATGGAGAAATACAGAGCAGATTTATGTGCAGACGCACATATATATACACACACACAAATATATGTGTGTATATGTATGTCTACATCTATATCTATCTCTCCCTATCTATCTATCTATCTATATGTCTGTCTATCTATCTATCTATCTATCTATCTCTGTCTGTCTCTCTCTCTCTGTCGCTCTCTCTCTCTCTCTCTTCTCTCTCTCTCTCTCTCTCTCTCTCTCTCTCTCTCTCTCTCTCTCTCTCTCTCTCTCTCTCTCTCTCTCTCTCTCTATATATATATATATATATATATATATATATATATATATATAAATATATATGTATATATATATATATATATATATATATATATATATGTATATATATATATATATATATATATATATATATATATATATATATATATATACATATATATATATATATATATATATATATATATATATATATATATATATACATATATATATATATATATACAAGTGTGTGTGTGTGTGTGTGTATGTATGTATGTATGTATGTATGTATGTATGTATGTGTATGTATATATATACATTTATTTGTTTTTGTTTTTATTTATCTAGAGAGAGAGAGAGAGAGCAGACAGACAGACAGACAACACACAGACAGAGAATTTGAGGACTATGATATAAGCAGGGAAAGAAAAACAAAAACCTCCCACCTTATTAAACGAAACTGGAGAAGGAGATAAAATGGAAAGCTAAATTAATCTTCTTGAGGTTATCCAAAGAAGGTATATGACGTGAATAGTCACTTAGAAAATGAAGGAGCTGGAGAGCACAGTATGATATATTTTTAGATTCAGTTATATGTATTTAAATAGGGTGATAAGGCACTCTTTTCCCTCTGGTAGTGTATTATGATGAATGTAAATCATAATAACAATGATAATCATAATGATAATGACAATAATAATCATGGTAATGTTTGTAACAGTAACAGCAATAGTAACACTGGTAATAATAGTAATAATGCGAATCAGGTGGTATTAATGACGATAACAATAATGATATTGAAAGAAATGATAATGATGATAGTAATAATAGACAAAATAATAATGACCATAATAAGAATGATTACACTAATGATAATGATAATGTTATATACATACATACATACATATATATATATATATATATATATATATATATATATATATATATATATATATATATATATATATATATATATATATATATATACACACACACACACACACACACACACACACACACACACATATATATATATATATATATATATATATATATATATATATATATATATATATATAT